TTTTTACGTTTTAGTGCATTTATATTTGTATTGAATTATATTTTCGGCTATTACAATCGTTGATTGTCAACGGTCATCGATCACCAGTCAACAGTCTCCGCCCGTGCTAAACTATAAGGCTGGATTCGCCCCTGCGTACTAATATATCAGACTGACAATCTCCGATTTATGTTCATCAAGAACAGAGGCCAATTGACAGAGTCCCAAAAGTGTTTTAACGATCATATTCCAACTCCAAAAAAGAATGATAGTCCATCAGCTCCCGTTTCGCATACAAAAATATGCTTGCATAATCGATAACCATTTAATTAATGATAAAATCAAAATCCCCCAAATATAATTATCCTCTGGACATTTTCATATTTGCTGAAAGAATTTTCTTCATTCGTTTTGTTTCATCTTTGACCAAGATCATAGAAATAACTTATACATCTCTGTTATTTCGTGTCTGATACTAATTAAACATGACAAAGATCATACATATTATATTTATTCTCAGATTCACAAATCTTTTATTGGTCGATGGTAGGCGGATAGTGGCTCAAGAGGCAGAGGCGAGAGCGAGATCTGCAGAAGTGTGAATGGGCGTAAATATTCAGAATATGATTTTTAGGGTTTACCTTTTCTTAAATTAATTTATTATTTTTTAAAATTTTCTTTATATGGGTCGGGTCTAGTTTTATAAGAAATTTTAACCAACCGAATCAGAAAAAACGCAGCTTGAACTCAAACCACCAAATGATACAATATTCAGGTCCAAAGACTCGATGATTAATTTTAAAGGAAAAAAACGAAGAGCTTTAAAATACAAAAAAACATTCAAAGGCTCGTTTAATTTGTGTTTCAATTTTTAATTTTGAGGGAATATTTTAAGATTGTTAAAATGCGTTTAGTTTGTCGATTTGAAAATTATTTCTTAAAACAAAAAAATTAGGAAACAAGTTTAATTTGAAAATTTAAAATTTTTTTATACAATTTTATTTCATGAAATTTGATTATACAATAAAAATAAAATAACTTTATGTGAACATATTATCAAGTAATATATATACATATATTTTTAAAGTTGGGGAATCTTATATTATTTTCTATCGCAACAAAAGTGAAATAAAAACAAATAATAAATTAAGTTCAAAATATAGAAAATAATGAAAATTAATGACGTGCATTGAGAATATTTTTATCTGTATTCATTTAAATATTTTTTAAATTTCTTTTATATATATAATTATTAAGAACTTGAACTCTTTTTATTTTTCTAAAAATTATTATAATTTTGTTTTTCAGAATTTTACGGCTTGTTTGAGCCACATTTTTTTTTGGTATAAAATGCATTTTGAACTACTAGATTGATGGATAATGTGTGGTTAAAAAATAAGAAAAAAGTTTTGGACTTGCGTGTAATATTACTTTATTGAAAAAAAGAGAAAGAAAAATGTATTAAAAAAAGAATCAAACAAGGACTTAATTTTTAGAATTTTATTTTGTAGATTTTAGTTTTTTTTTTTTTATAATTTTAAATTTTATTTTTTGTTTTTAAAATTTATCAATTTTATCTTTCCATTTTTTGAATTTTCATTTTAAAAATTATTTGTTAGATTTTCATGCATTTTTTTAAAAAAAATATATTTAAATGTTTATTTTTCATGTTTTGAATGTTTTAAAAATATTCACTGAAAACACTCAACGTAAAAAATGTGTTTTAAATTTTAAGTTATAGATTTATCATTGTTTTCGAAAATACATTTTCAGAAACACTAGACCAAACATGCATTTTCTATAAAATTTGTGTAATTATCGATCATTTTAATGCGGATCCTACATTGAAATGATCGATTTAATATGTCCCCATGTTTGAAATAAGGTATTATCATCATTTCAAAAAATGCATTATTTGAATGAGTTGAAATTTGAATTATGGAGTTGATGGGCACCGAAACTCATCTTCCTTGATGTAATTTTGCCTCTGTTTGAGCCTTATTCTCCAAAAAATTATTTTTCTCCAAAATTATTTTTCAACCACACGTTCTCCTAATAAAATAATTTTGCACGTAAATTCAAAATTTTCTTACTTTTTTTATTCCATATTCTTGAAAAAAATTACTATTATAAAATTCATTTTTTTTCACAAAAATTGAGCTCAAATAGAGCCTCATTAGAATTCAAATTGCATAATTCGTCTTAAGATTCTATAGATTTATAATTGTTATATTTTGGCCCCTATCTGGGGAAATTATAAATTTTGGAATAATAATTGATGAGAGAATATGTAATTGAAAAATAATGAAAAGTTTTAGATTTATGAGTAATATTATTTTATTTGGAGAAATTAAGAAAAATAAAAAATTAAGAAAAATAAAAAATTAATGGGGCCACACACTAGCAAATTATTAGAAATATTAAAAAAAAAAAACATGATCTTTTCCTTTTGAAAGCATTCATTTGGTTCGTTATGTAACTGGCATCTACTTATACATGAGAACATGGCATATCCATTATATTCCTCAATCAATATTATTATTTAATTATTTAAAGTCTTATTCAATAAAATCATGTAGCAAAACAACAAACACAAATTAACAATTTAATTATTCTCCCCCGTGATCGTATCCTCCTTTTGACAATTTACCATAATGAGAATATATAGCACTCATTCTTTTACGCTATTGATTGTACTGTATTAGATAATTCTCGACAATATCAAATTTAAAATAAAAAAAACTAAACTATTATTGACTACATAATCATGTAGGAAACATGAAGGGCAAATTTTATTGGAGGTCTCCCAACTTTGAACAAAGTCTTACTCGGATCATTCGACTTTAATTTTATTTCAAATGCAGTCAATTTGTTAGTTACAACAAAAGAAATTAACGGGTTTGTTTACATGGACGTTAAACAAGATAGAATGCCACATATGATCAAGTCGATAGACATAAAGCACGATTTATCAAGTGAATTTTCATCATGTGTAACATTTTATCTAATTTTCAACATCCACATAGGCATCTAACAGATTGGTTATACTTGAAACAAAATTACAGTTTGGTGACTTGATGAAGACTTTTAAAAGTCAGGTGACTTCCAATAAAATTTATTCTTTGACATTAAAATAAAAGGAAAATTCATAGTAATGATTAATTTAATTTGACGTATGTACACATTTGTTAATGTCACTTGTATTCTCCACTTGATGATTGGATGGAAGGTTTGGGGACTAATGTGCACATGAGAAGAAGTTGAAGGATCAAAATATGCATAATTTGAAGAAAATGACCAAAATTAAGGAAAAATGAAGAAGGTGACCAAAATGCAATAATTGAAATATGACATAACTGGGCAACCGTCCATCTATAATAGTTGGGCAATCGCCTGGCTTGAAGTTTCAAAAGCAGGGAAGAATTAATGTGCCTAGGTGATTGCCTGGTTTTCTATTGGGCAACCGTCGTGGCCAATCGTGGCAATGGTCCATTTTTCATTTCAAATTATTCTCCAACAAGGACTCTTCTTCTTGGGCCGATTCCTAGACATTTTTGAAGACTTCTTGGAGACTTTTGAGTGTATAAATAGAACATATTAACTCTAAATAAAGGTGGGAAAATTAATTACAAAAAGAGGCGAAAAATACAAGATCAAATTCAAGAATTCCGAATGATGAACTATTTTTATTTCTTTTGTTTTCTTCTACACAACATGTTAGACCGAAGTAATCTAGTGTTAGGATTACGATGAATCTTGTAGCATGAACATTTAAATTTTGATTCTATTTCTTTTTTATATTCAAAAAACGTTTTCAATAATTGAATGATTGACATGAATTAATTCTTCTTTAAAATTATATGCACAATAGTTGTATGAGTTTTGTGGTTTGTTTTATATTCAAAAGACTAAAAATAAGTTAGACATAGTATCAATTATCGTAGAGTCCGATAGAGATAAAAATATACAGCTATACTTTATGTAGTTTTTAAGTATTCACAAATCCATAATGTATTCTTAGTTCTTCGCATCCGTCGTAGAAATATAGTCGATTACAAATACAAATAAGTTTAATTCTACTCGATAAAGATTATTAAACTATTTAGGAATATTGATCTTCATAAATGAATCATGTTATCAAATTGTAATGTTTGGGATTAAAATGAATTGATATAAGGGGATTTGGGATCCTAGTGTGTTTTTCATGATTATATTTTCATCAAATTTGCATTAATCAAAATCTTACATTGAATTGAGTTAAATTTAGGTCTTGCATTCATATGTATAGTAATTGATCGCAATTTATTTAAAAAAATCGTTATTCCAAAGCTCATTTTCTAAGAATAAATAAAAAAAATATTTTTAATAGATAACAAACCTGGGCTAAGTATAATGGGTAATTCCACTTGTATATGGAGAAATCCCTGGGCAAGTAGCACAGTCTAGAGCTTGGCAAAATGTCCGAACCGAATTGAACGGTTTTTTTTAAATGAAATACCCGAACGGATATTCGATTCGAGAATCGAATGGTTTGATTCG